CAGAAGGGAAGAAAATTACCACATGAGCTTACAGTAACTCAGTCGTCAATAAATGCTGCACAGAAGATTTTGCGGCGGACTGCAAGCATTCAAAAGGCCTCGAAACAATCAATCGTGTATCTGAGGATCGCTCCTAGATGTGCGAAAGCTGGGCCGCAGCAGCTTTAGGGTAAATGTGCAAAATAGGCATCCGCTTGGTGCCAGTTTAGCTAAACTTAAACACATGGCTGAACCGATAGTAGTTGTAGCTCCTTGTGCTCGTAAAACACGACTCCCGATTACAATCTTTTCTCAACCACCGCAGACCACTCGAATACCAAAGGTAGCGATGCTCGAAAGAATGCAAGCCTCAGATGGACGAACCACGCAAAATACGCAGCGCTATCATCGCTTATTTCCGAAACAGACGATAAAGGTGCAGCAGTGAACCCCACATTTAAGTCACCGCTGGGACAGGTGGGGCAAAATCAACCCCGAGCGGTGACCTCAAAATCGGGAATGCTGCGGGAACCGTACGGCCGTTTGGAATGTGACTGCCAAATCACGACTTTACTCCGTCAAAAGTCCCTTCGACTACGGTCAGAGTCGTCGAACAGAATACAGACAATCAAAGCCACGAACCTAACATCGAACCGGAAAATCCTTCGTACACATAAGTAGCCATGCTGATCGCCGGCATTGCGGGAACCCACAAAAAACAAAAGAAAGGCGAATATAGTCAAACTGATAATAGTTGCTTGACCAAGTCATGAGAGAGCTGGCTGGATTCAAGGTACAGTACTTTGCGAAAACAAGCCTCATAAGCGCGCCGCCCCTTAGTGTTGCTACCCAACTCTTATAGTTTCAAGGAGACTCCTCATCAATCAAACCGCTCAAAATGCATAAAAAACCAAACAGGCGCATGTTTTCCGCAAATCCTTAGAAAACTGCAAATTTAGTCACTTAAAATTTCGTCACAAATGAGTTACATTTGGTAGCGGTCAGAAATTTCGACCGCGGGCGCAAAAATCACGCTCTTTAAGATGAAAGGCTCGCACAAACTTCGCTCTCACAGGGCGAAACAAACTTCTAATAAAAAGCAGCTCTCAGAACCATCAAGATGGAAAGCGGACAAGCATGCCGCAGAGGTTCACAAAAGAACTTGGCCTCAAACCTAGCGTACAGCTACTAAATCTTCTAATCTCTCCGGTTGCACAACTTTCGGCTCCTTACCTTCAGAATCAGCGTTGAAATGCCTGTCCACAAACTGTCTCAGTGTTTCAACAAACTATGCGATATTAAACAGTCAGTTCCCCTTAAAACGGCCGCTCAATATTGCACTCACTGAGACTTGGCTTAAAGCAGATATCTCTTACGCCGATATCGCGATAGACGACTGCCCTCTTTTTCGGGTTGACTCGAAAATGGGGAGGGCTGGTGAGGTCGCTGTACGTTTACTTGCGGCCTTACCTATCCTGGTTGTTCTCTCTTTTGTAGTTTTTGCAGCGGCACTGCCCAAAGTCGTTCACTCAACATGAAGTTGCACCCATTATATACCGCACAGGACAACTAATACTCCACCTGGTCGCCACCAACGAAAGGCACCTCGTTGATCAGGTTATAATTACCGCTCCATTGGAACATAGTGACCACTGTGCGCATACCTTTGATTTCATCTGCTATCGGGCCAGAAATCCCGAACGTCAAACATGGGTTCGAAACTTCTGCCGTGCAGATCTCTCAAGAGTACGCGTCCTTCTTGAACAAATTGAAATCGGACCAGTTTCATTGGAAGAATTATATGGGGTCACTGTCCAGAAAGTTCACGAGGCTGACGCGATGTTCGTCCTAAAAAATCAGCGCGCAGTCGGATGAGATGGAAAACTTTTTTAAAAAGTTGACTGCGAGACACACAGATGATGAGCTGTCATTTCGCAAAGTGCGGAACAGATGTAAATCAGAGATCCGCAAATGGAACCTTAGAAAAAGAGCCGCCGTTCCGGACCACGCTCGGAAAAAAAGAAATCCGCCATTTAAATATGTGAGACATTGCTGCATGAATAAACCATCCGCGTTCTCCTTGAGGGACAGGAACGAAGAACCCACGAGTGACCAAACAGTGGTATCTGAGGTTCACAGAGAACACTGTACAAGTCTATATTCAGCCGTAGCGTCCTCGTCACATCCGCTCTTGTCAAGGCTTAACTACGAACAGCCTCTAACCGACTTGGTCTTCACGGTGGAGGACATTCGTCAACTCTTGCACAAGATCAACCCACTCTGCGCGTTGGGGCCCGACGAGGTCCATCCAAGGATCCTGAAAGAAACGTCCTCCACACTGGCAAACCAGTTACACTTGGTGTTTCGTCAGTCGCTTGACGAAGGCCGCCTTCCCCCTGCTTGGAAGGAAGCAATTGTCACGCCAATCTACAAAACTGGTGACCGACTATCGCCTGGCAGCTATAGGACTATAAGCCTTACTAGCGTGCCGTGCAAGGTGATGGAACGCATTCTGAAGCAGGTCAAATTAGGTCCCCTTACTTCGAAAAACTTGAAGGCTCCGGGTCAACGCGGATTTCTCCCACACCGCTATCGGTTGACGAACATACTCGTATTTATAGACAGCTTAACCCAAGCCAAGGGCGTGAGACCCGTATAGGATTCCATAGTTTTTGACTTCTCAAAGGCATTCGATTGAGTCTCACATGTCCTGCTTCTTCAAAAACTCGCGTGTTACGGGATCCAAGGAAACTTCCACACTGGACTAAATCGTTCCGATCAAACGGAACACACTGAGTTAAACCTGACCTATTCTTCTCCGGCACCGGTTTCCATTGGAGTTCCTCAAGGCTCCGTTCTGGGACCACTGATGTTTTTGGTATGCGTCGACGACCTTCAATATTTTCTTGCAAATCCATGTCTAATTTTTGCGGACGACTTGAAATCATGAGGTTTCAATGCATTTCCCTTCAAATGGATGAAGACGCTGCAACGCAGTGGCCGTTGGACTGGCGCCTTCTTCTGATTGACAAAAAGTGCGCCCACATGTAATTTAGAGGAGACTCAAAGAATGCCTACGTCATGTACGATGAGAATTGACCAGGAGACATCACAAAAGTATCTTGGCATCTGGCTTACCTCAAACATATCCCCGTCGCACCATTAGAGGTCGGCTCAAGAGACAGTCACCGTTTTTCGGACGATTCGATACATTTTCTCCCGTATTTACCTTGGTGGCTTTCAAATACCCCATGGAGCTTACGTTTGGCCGCCTCCGGAAGGTTCTAACCAAGTTGCCAACTAAGGACGCAGGACGCAGTCCAACGAGCTGCTACGGAAATGGCTGTCGGCTTTGAATCCGTGGACTAAGGAACGCGTCTCTTGCTGCCCGACCTCCTTCTCCTGGATACCTGGCGACTCCGAGGACACCTGATTATTCCTTATGCCTTGTTTAAACCGGTTTTGGCCATCGAACACACGAGGAGGACATGGTAAGGCGATTTCCAAACTCAGAGGGCACTCTTCCATCGGGCGAAATTTTCTCATTCCGGACAGTTGCTGCGTGGAATATCCTTCCTCCGACGGCTGCTGACGCACCATCTTGAACCCAGTGAGAAGCACCATAATAACATTTTTCATGTTAATCTTCGCGCCGACAAGCTTACTACCCTGTGCTGAGAACAGGAACAGCGTGCCACACCCTTTCTTCACTTGTGCCTTTCTGGTGAACGGAAGCCGCTAAATGGGAATAAATCCGGCCCACAATACTTGGGTAAAAGCTTTGGTCCTGTGTAATGATCCGCGAATCTATGAATACCCACAGATATCTCTCTCTACTCAAACTGGTCCCTAGTTTATCGCACTTTCGGCCCGCCGTTGCTAGCGACGAGGCGCAGGTAATCCTTTTTCCTCTTTCGGATAGGTAACTTGATCCTGGGGCAAAAATCGACAAATTACCAACCCCCACTACGAGCTTCTTGGCAGTATGCTTGTGTAAAAATGGAACCAAATGAGAACACGTATTTGACACAGAGTAGTAACCCACAGTTTGACCTCAAGTAGCTCACAGTACTCGAAATTGAATTCCCGCGATACTGAGGGATGTCCAGCCTAGGGCTACCGAAACTATTTTGGTGTTGTACAACTCCATAAAGTTACCTTGAATATCTAGCCTCAGCCCATCCCATTTGTCGTCAGCTGCGCAGCTGCTTTATCCACACTGATTAAGCCCATAACGTCAACATGTTCACCAATTTTGCCACCCTCATTCACCCCCTCTCTCGCTCCAAACTTTGTGTCCATGAGCTCAATCTCTTACAAAGGATACCCTACCTTGCGTAGAAGTAGCTAAGTGTCCTCAGCTGTAGCATCCTTCTGAGACTTACTTAGCCAATTGACAGGCTATCATTTTCTACGCCATTTCGAGCAAATTCTCAATGGTTTCCTCTATCAATCGCCCGCATAATAATGATCCTGATATTGACTCGTTCTGAATCGCAAACATGGAGTGATGACATAGAGTATGACTACTATTCATCCTACCTTCACTTGCATACTTTCACACTCACGGCGCAATACTCGCAGCAAACTGAAAGTCGGCAGCGTAATTATGTTCATTCCTCTTTCGGTCACTTGTTCAATTTGCGTAATCTCTTGACACACAGACTCGAAAATAGTGGGACAGCCATCACTTCATCTAAATTCACTCATCTCGAGTCCACCAGCAGAAGCGACAACCACCGATAGGAGTCTCCGTGTATATGGCTTCATATTCATGTGTCCTATAGAGCCTATTGAATCTCTCTAGTCAAGAATCGAGAATGCTTGAGTTCGATATCTACTTCCGTATTGATATTGTCTGTCGTGGTCTAGAAGGAAACATACTACTGACACAGGGTTCTAGACGAACCCATGAGAGATTCGGTGACCTGCTCCTGATTACGATTCTCGAATTCCTTCGACCTGTTACTGAACTGAAACGGTAGGCGTCGTCATAGCCCACAAATAGCGCTACAAAGAAAATGCGTAAGATTGACAGAAAATCGTACGTACACATACGTGTTGTAAATTTCGCGATTCTCTCCCATCCTATATAGCGCCCTGAAGAAAAAACAGGATCAAAACGAGCAGCTGGAAAGTGAGACCAAAAGAATGGAGGAACGACTTTCCATGCTGAAATCCGCATTACATACGGGGTTAAAGAAGCTCCCGACGAATAAGTGAGTAACACAAGGGAGCAACTAATTATAAAGTGGAGCCTCAGAATACATTTGGGCGGGTAGCATTCCAAAAGAACGCTCTACATCCACTGCGAAAGTTAACAGGATTTTTGATGTAATGACTTTCCTCAGAGAGCAACTCATCTATTCTTTGTAGCTCGAAAGAGTCAAGCTCAGAACACTCCAGCGTGGGGAACAATGTGCGTGACTGGTTTTGTTTTATTCATTTATGCAGCTTTTCAGCCTGTTAGTGACGATGTGTACAAAAATATCATTAATAAACTTAAAAATGAATGTGGTGGAGACCCGAGGGGCGATTCGTCAAATAAAGTGCACATGGAGCAGATTAAGTGTGGACAGTGTGAAGCGAAGTGTGCAGCAGTGGTAAGTTAAATTCCCTAGGTTAGATTCTGTGCAGTCTTGTCAAGAATGTAACGAGGATTATTGTGCCAAATGTTTTGCAAGATTTCACATAAAAGGAGCCATGAAAAGACATCATTCTCTCCCACTTTCAGTAATTTTCATTTCTGAACGTTTTAACATAATGCAGTGTTATTCTACTAGACAGACGCGAAATCTTAGCCTGGAAAACAAACTTTTCGACAGTGAACTGAGTAGTGACGTACCATATGACGGTAGAACACCGGTAAGTTTAACTTTTGTTTACTGAAAGGGTCAGTTTCACGGTAGAGGCATTTTGATTGTCATTCCGATTATCCATGGATAACGGGTTGGGTTTTTCGCCTCTCAGCAATTGCTTACATTAGTCTGGTGACCAGCAAGGTGGCTCCTCTCGATGTACAGAACTTATTGATTAGAAGGTACATTGTTCGACTCCAACTCCGACAACTCGACTGCCCTTTTCTAGGCTTGAGCATTTTCTCAGTTCTTTCGTCGAGCAGAATAGCAGCTAGGCACCAAAAGTGGGTCACAGCCGAACGACGATGACGACCGACGAGCCTTCTCTCCCGACATTGACCAATTGAGGCCACCGAAATGGGGATCGTGCAGTGATTTGACCATGTTCACCATCGCAGCCTCGAATGTATCAGGTCAGCATTAGTTTCGTTTTCCCCCCGCTCTAAAGGAGAGCATTAGACACATGCTTCCATGCCAAATTCCAGTTTGTAAACGTGGCTGATTGTTGGAGTTGCATTTGAAGGCTGGGGCGAATAGAATATCCTGGTGTGCCGCTTGAAAAAGAGTGGTAAACCGGCTCATGGCGTCCTTTCTCAAGCGTAATAAGCTATGCTAATTAAAGCCATTGTCCGTAGGATGGCCACCGCATTCTGGCTTCCATTTGGAGGCCGACGGTCTCCAATCACTCTAGTTTATAACCTGGATTTAGTGCATCAAAGGTGGACAAAATATCTGCACTAAATTGATGGTGAGATTTAAGCTAAGTCCAAAAGACGGAGCACCGTCCTCACGAAAACAAGGCGTCGAAGAAAAGTATGCACCATGTACCGATCATATTCCAACATAGGTCTATGCCGAACTTGATCTAGCTGCTAAAAGTTGGACACAGCTCCTCTTTTCGAATCTCATTTGTGAGATAACGTATTGCGTTCTTATGATAAACCACGCAGTTTATAGTAATACATTCCCTTAATTCAATGTAGGTCCAGCCTAAACTAGAGATAATTCGGTCAACACTGTCCAATCGGTTGACTCTCTTAAAAGGTATCCATCAAGCACCACACTCTCATGTCACGAAAATTTCTACGTCAGCGAATACAAGCGTTAGTTTTTTCCTGAAATTTACACACAACAAACTCAATATTTGGTGAGTTTAACGTGCTGAGGAATATGAAGACGATAAGCAGTTTTCGGCGTAGATACCCTGTTCAAATTGTGGAACAGTTTACTACTGACGTGCAACTTATGTAAGAAGCAGCAATCCTCTCCATAATTCTAGTTTGTTGCACGTTATATGCATCTGGATGACTCTGGGTCACTAAAATTACCTCTGGATAAACTTGGGAAGGTCGTCTTTCATTATTTGGAACAGATGCTGTTTTGACGACATCTGGTGACCAATAAATAAATATACAATCAGGCTAATCCAAAAAATGTAATCAGAACTTCATACAGTCGCCCAAATGTGTGACGAACGTACCCAACATAGTACTTTATGCTGAAGTTTTACAATAGATGTTTTGTTATTCTTCCTTCATCAGTTCATCTCCTTTTCAAGGGAATCGTACGACAAATATAGACTGTGAAAAGTTTTTTAGAACATCATTTGTAATGCATATGTGAGAGAAAACATTCATTTATGATTTAAGTGGACCTTGAATTATTAGAGATTTTGCTAGACAATCTGGTCTTGCAAGTGGAGATCCGAAGAATCCAACCGTAATTTGGTGCGCGGCGGTTTAGCCAAAGCATCACCTTTAATTAAAATCTGCCCTGTAAATTAAACCAGTCTAATAAAATAGCCAATAAACCCTGTACAGCTATTTAACCTCGCTATTTAACAACGCAAAAACTCAGACGCTTTCAAACCGATAACTTTCCAGCCAGTGATTGAACGCTTAAAGGTTTGGCTACAGGAAGCTGATCAGTAACGCAATTAGTTCTCACCTGACGGGATATAGTGTCACTCCTCATTCAGACAAATAAACCACTTGGCGACGTTACACGTTGACTAGCACTTCCAATAGTGAATCTTCAGATGAAAATTTAACTCAACTGTTGAAGTTATTCTTTCATTTTTGCCACCGGTGGATTGCTGACGGTGTGGGAATGCTTTTTAGTTTTCAATCAGGATTTCATCCTACCAGCGAAGTCAGTCTACGTCGAAAATTTGAGAAGCACAATACAGCTGTTTGATTCTTATTGGGAATCATCAGAATCGAGCATACATGTGGGACTGGAATTAAAGCACACTCTTTGATTTGTAACGAACGTTGAATGTACTGCGCACTGCAAATCAGTTGATTCACTCCGTAAATGTGGATGAAGCATTCTTAAACCGTATTAGCAACAAATACGCCATACCTAGATAGGTGAAGCCTAAAATACAATTACAGGGAACTAATTAAGAAATGGGTTTTTAAAAAGTCGTAAAACAGATAGATGTAACGTAGAATAAAAGGTCATGCGCTTGAGTTAACGGAGAGACTTCGGGCATTCACTAAGTCCTCAAAAAATGACGCCAAAAACACTTTTGCAGGTTCTGTAAAATTGAGTAACCGGTCGTCTATCTGGCGCATTTATACTCCTGAACCAGGAGGCTCAGTATCCTCTTGAAAGTACCTGTGGAAAATAGATGCACCGTCCAGGCGAAACTGACGAGCCGTATCAGTCGGTATCGTTGGTTTCATATTGTGGTCACCAACTGAGTGGGCTAAAATCTTTATCAGTTTAAAGTGAGCACCCGGATTTCATGCAAAACATCCTATTGGATGAGTGTCAAGTACCTATTCAGTAATATCAGGGAGGTCAAATTCCTGGAAGTGACCACTGAATGCCCGGAATCTACTAAGACTCTTAACTTCACTAGACGGTGAACAGACAAATAACGCCCCCGCAATATGCAGCGCTTGGCAGCCCTTTATCAAAACCAGATAGCACGAGATAGCGTTGAATCAAGATCATACAGTAGCTCTCCAGTAGAATAACTTAAGGCCGTTGTATTTTTGCACTCGCACGCACTTAAACTACTGCACTCGCTTGTTTGGAATAAGGCTGTTGTGTTCCCTTTGATGAGTCTTTATTCTTGCGCTAAGAAGTGGAGAGGGATCAGCAGTCATATACAGTAGATTGGCAAATAAGTAAATATAACGAGTAACATCTGTTACTAACAACGTAGTCTGCATGACCTTCCACTTGCCGCACGCAGGTTAGAGCCAAACGCGTAAATAAAGCTCTTCGGATCATCAGCAAGGTCATTTGCATCTCTTTCACAAAGTTTCGTAGTAGCTTGCGCATCGAATTTGGTCCAACACGAGTGGAAGATCATCTAGTAGCAAATGGTTTGTCAGAAGTTGGTGCGTCTTGACGCCTCCTTATAGGCCACATCTGACAGACAAATTATTATCAGTTGAGTATTCATCGGATTAGAACTCCATGTATGAAGTGATCTACTGAGCATCCACAGAATCTTCGATGCTCTTGCTTTTGTCGGCAGAGTGTGTGAGTTCCTGCTATCATGTGCAGATTCAATTAATCAGTTTGACATAGAGTTCTTTCTTCGACCAGTCTACTGTAACTAATAAATGAGCCAGAAGTATGCCGTTCTAAAATTTGCATCGCGACGAAGCTGGACCGAGATTAGACCCAACAATGAGTTCCGACTTTTTCTGGTATGCGAACGCAGAACAGCTATATATGACCAACAGGGCGCCAAGAGGTGTATGCAATATGTCAAAAACAGATTAATCTGGACGTTAAAAGTGACTGAACTGTTTCGTGCATGCCTGGAGTTGCAGGTACCCCGAAATGATTGTGGCAGACTAGCACTAAATCACTTTCATGTCTACTTTCATCCTTTACTTTGAACTGAGGCTTGCAAGTAAATTATGGCTGTTCGGCAGCAATGCATCAGTATTGGATACTGATGACATGATGTCAATGAAGATGATGCTACCTCAATACTTCATTCGACAGTCTTCCGTCTTTCGACTTTTAAATGAATGCAACTTAGAATATTTGAAGGGTTTCAGTTACTCTGATGTCTTTGATGTCTGAAAATATCATGGTACCTTCTCCTACTTTCACTAATGCCAGGACGAGGGTTTCTTCTATTTTTCAACTTTTAGCATCCGTAGCGTTCTTGCAAACACCTTTGATTACCACTTTCTGGTCATGGGGAATATTGCGAATTTGTCTTTATTTAAATGATTTATGCTATCCCGTCTACAAAATGCCACACAGTCTTGCAAACATTCACGCATATTTTTACAAACACCTGCGTATTTGCGCATCAACTAAATCAGCCGCTGTCTCCAGTCAGTAGCTTTCTTTCATTGCCTTCTCAAATTATTATCAAACACGATTGTGGCAGCGATAACCATTGCGTAACAAGAAAATAATTCTTACTACTGAACATGATGGTAATGATTCTCCTAGGACTTCATCAAAAACTGGAAGCAAAATCTCTCCAGCTGTTTTAATCTGTCTTATTAAGCGTAAAGAGCTGCCACCTGTTGCGCCTTGTCAGATTGAGTGTTTCAATCATCTCGGAGTCTAAACATATCCAGCGCCCCTTCGCGGACCAGAATGTTTCTACTTTTGTCTGTCATTTTTCCTCTCTAAATGGTCCGTCCTGTTTCCATTAAAATGCATTTTTCTTGAGCTCATCATCATCATCACTGTCAGCTGCAATAAGCGCGTACTCTTCGTGCAGTGGTGTAGCTGCCTAGAGCACTGTAGTGGGCTATCAAGTGGGTGAAGTGGGAAGGGAGAGATGCATTGAAGGCAGTAGTTTGGATGCACGAGCGCCACTGAGGGCGTGACTGGGCCATGTCTGACAATGTCTCTAACCAATGATGTGGCCCGTCTCGGGGTCCCCATCCAGCGCAGCTGAGTTTCCTGGCAATGGCTTCCACATTTCGTTGTCAAGTCATTGTTTGATCTACACGAAGCACATGAACAGAGACAGTTAAAACCTTAAATTTCTACGTGAAAAATAGCAGTTCAGAATGGAAATTTTTTTACATAAATACGGGAGTTTCCAAAGGCACTTCATTCCTTGACTTCATCCGTAAGTGGATCTGAACTGTACCTCCTGTGAAAAGTGAGCCAGCTGACGATTACTCAGGGGCGGTTGAGCGTTTGCCGAAGAAAAGTGCGAATAAACCCCGGTTTAGGAAATTGCCTTGTCAGATCAGAAAAACAGCTGCAATATGAGATGGATGTAAAAGCAACTTACGTGATTGTTTTCTGCTGCTAGATTTCTGGCCGACCGGCAGAGTTGAAAATGTACAATGACAACAACGGGCCATGTGAACAGGAAGACCAAAATATTTCTTTCCGCTAGTTAATTGCTTACCAACCGCATCTCCGTAGTAGAAGACTTCAAAATGCTAGATACTTATTTATTTTTGCAACAACAACTCAGTACTTTTCATGTTTTTGTCTTTTACTTTAATTTTTTCTTATGCTGAAATAGTGACAATAAATTATCAATATTTTTTCTTCCCGACATTACCCTTTGTAGAGATTCACGGCCTTTATTGTACAAAATTAATCCTATTCAAGTGAAACGATTTGGGTTATTTGATCTATGGGAGAAACCTGCTCGAGTTTTATGGGTCTCGCTGAAGACAACCGATTAAGTGATTGTGAGTACTCGTCACATACCGCGGAGTAGACTGAATGTGCAGATGCTCTTACGTAGCGTTTTTCTGTAAGGCACGTTAACCTATAAAACGATCTGTCTGGTCTCTTATGGAGTGAGTTAGCCGTTAGGTTAGGTACAGGGTATTAGCCGACGCAGAAATGTATCTCAAGCTAATTTTCTGTTCATGGGGTTTTTAGTCAAGGAGCATACTATAATAACTAAACTTGACCTTAGTACCAGCTCAATCGGATTTCCTTTTATTGTTGCCAAGAATATTCGGCTATTTTGAACTAAACAACATTTTGTGTACAGTTCACGCACTATCTAAAACAATGCTCATACTCTAATATAAGAGCATTCTGATTACATCCCATATTCTTCTACAGAAAATAATGTTGCCGTTTGGGCCTCACTTGGCTATTTAGTACCTCAATGTGTCTCGGATCTAAGATAAAGTAAATGAGGACAGCCCATACTTGGAGCTGTGCTGTTTACATGAGAATACCCTGCAACAGCCTGCAACCTTTTCTACATTCCTATCACTCGTGCGCATTACGACAACAAAGATTTTGAGAAATTAGACCTTGTAACGGTCACTTTGTTTCTACACAGGTCATGAAGACAGGCATCACTCCACTTCGTATACTGATTCTTTTCAGTCCAACTCAGATTGTTTGGAACCTGGCAAGGAAACCTGCAACTTTCACGCACAATCAAAATCACCAATTACGCAAGTACCGTGTGTGGCGCAAACAAAGAGTCGATATGTAGATGGCCTTGGCGGTAGACCGACGGTTTCCACAACGTCCCGTGGCACATCATCAGAACGACCTCCGTCCCCAAAGATTACCTTCAGCCCATCCCTAACCTATGCAGAACGTCTAATGCTACGTAAGCACAGACGATCTCAGACACCATTCTTAATGACAAAGGATGCAAAAGATTACGCTTCAGCAATATCACCTTCAAAGAATAATGAAACAGGTTGGTTGTCTAACACATTTACGGTTGCAATAAAAAAATCCACCTCCCCAGCTTAAGGCTAATAAGACTGGATTGAGGGTCATGAAAATTCCTACTATGATATGCTGTCTGTAATCATTGTTTCTTCTTCAAAATATGTTGCAAATGCAGCCGAATCAATCACATTTGAGGATCAAACTTATGTTCATCCGTGAAAACCAGCTGATAAACATACGCTTGGATGACCACGTTGAAAGAAACCTTGCGCAATGCTGTCATCATCATTTCCGACGTTGAGCCACAACGCAGGCTGACTGTCTTGCAATGTAGTTTTGCATGCTTCATCGTATGTTATTCATGAAATCGGATATGGGAATTTAGTGAAGATAAAAATGGTAACCAAATGAGGCATAGCGGCAAAAGAGCCGTAGCTCGGACGAAAATTCGAGAGCGGTATTTCTGTGGCGTGAAAAAGAGCTATAGTCTGTTGTGTTAGCAAAGTTCGCTGCCAAAGTAAGAGGTCGAGCGGGTGCCTTAAATTTTATCATCGCGATGGTCAGTAGTTTCAAATAGTGTTGTAGAGTCCCAGGGGTAAGAATTCATTATTTCTCAGGATCATACTGATTTTTGTTTACCCGCCAGACTTCCTCATTTTGTCTGTAGCGTTGCGGTTCTGAACTGTCTTTCCGAATGGGGTCTCCCAGACCCCGTCTTCTGCTGGTGACTTTGCACGAAATAGCATCCAGTAAGGTCAAAAGTCAACATTTGATGAGCCTCACAAGGGCCGACAGCACTTGTGAGCAGCCGGCTAGTTATGAGCACTGTTAGGAGAGATAAATAGATTGCGGAGAAATATCTCATTATTTTGTTGGTAGCTTTGAGGAGCCATGAAAAAATCGGACAAGTGCTTCACTTTTTATTTGGTTCCCATGTATACCGTAAAGCCAAGAAGCACTGTACAGATATTTCTTCCTTAATGGGGTTCACCCCTGGTATTCATCTTACAAATTCTACGGGAGTTTTGACCACTTTCGACCACCCGACTATTATATCTCACTATTTTACTCACTTCACTCTAAAAGCATCAACACGAGGTCCGCTTACCTTATAAGCGCATCGCTTTTTATGCATTGGTGTCGCATCTCAGGGTACCGTCTAAAAATGGCATAAAAACAACCTCGTATTATCAGAAAATTATGGTGTGGTTCCACCTTTTTTGGAGTATCAAATAGTGCACGTAAAATTGCTCATCATAAACACAACAATTGTTTGTTATTTTAGCTCAAAACAATCCAGGTGACGAGTCCGATTCGGACCTGAGCCGGAACCAGATAGATTTCAATCAGCTTCATACCTTGGCTACTGTTCCATTAAAAATGGAAGACTTGGCGCACCTTTGCCATGTCGATGATTTGGAGACCATGGAAAACGCAGTTTCATCAGAACGGTTATCTGCCGAGCTTGAGAGTCCCAAAGAGACAAACCAGAATAATGATCCTCTGGATTGCGAACTAAATTCGACCCAAAACAATCCATCTGAGTAAGCTTTTCAAACAGGTTCAATTATGTTAAGTAATTCGCCAATTATCTTTGAACTAACTTGCTTGAGAGAAATGTCCTCAGAAGGGACTGATCCTGAATAGCATCGTTAAGCCTAAATCACATGACCCCGGAAAGTGCTTCCTCCAAACAAGAGAATACTTCTTTGGACCTGCTGTGACAAGAATTTCTTCATATTGGGTATCAAAAGGGAATCCTTGACACCTGTGTGATGCAAGGGCACGTATCCACGCCTTCCTGGGGCATGTTTATTGGAACATCGATGATCTACTCAACACGACGTGAAACAAGCACTTGTTTTGTATGGCTTTGTAGAGTGATTTCTCCAATGCAAGTGTACAACACTGAAATGAAATCCTGAAGTCGTCCTTTTTCCCAGTAACCGCATCACTCGCCATCCCACTCAGGTTTACTCGGATCATTGTGATATTCAACAGTGATCGGATTCAAAAACTTCCGACAAGTTCACATTGTATTCTTCACACCTTCAGCAGAATACAGTCATTTTTGTGATCGAGTACCTTAGTCACTTCTTTCTTAAACCGGACTAAGTGTCTTTGTGTCGAACCTAGTGGTAACACTTACTTCAATCATATGTACTCAACGGTAACTTTGAACCCGCAGACAGTGTTTCAAATTCATAATAAACTGGGATGCACTGGAATAGATAAGCGTTACATTGGTGTGTATTACACTTTATTTCCACCACCGCTTTTTCGCTCAACTTTCAGTGATTTATTATCTGAAAATAGCAGTATTCAGAAGAAACTAGTTTCAGTGTCTATTTTGTTGGTACTTCATTAAATAGTTTTGCTATTATGCCCTTTCAGATCGCCATCGTCCACTGTATGCACCCAAGTTGTTTAGACATGACCAATTTCACCTAAGAAGAACATAGCAACTTTACTGAGCAATTGATCAGTTGGTTATTAAAGCTCTATTGCTCTCGGTGCGTTTCCCTCAATTCCGCACGGTCGTTACAAAGAACATCTTTAACTGACCTTAATTTACAAGGTCTTGTTAACCTAGTAGCGACCGACCGAAAGTTTCATTGTGGAGTGTGATGTGCTGTTGTTGACAACACATGGTTTTTTTAGAACAAAAACGTTTTATAATGAAAATATAATGAAGCTGCATTTCGCGGTTCATCACAATGTAGTTGGTGGCAGGTTTCCTCACCAATACAGGACGTGTTAATCAGGTAGACACTACTGAGCACTAATCAGTCAAAAATGGGAACATGGGGTAACATGGTCCTCCAGCAACAGAAGCAAGGCCTTTGGAGTAATACATTGTTCCTCTGGTTAGGTTGCAATTAACCGTTGTGCGTCTGAGAAAGTTAGTAGCGAAAGTAAAGTAAACATTCACAATCAGAACTCCACCACGGAAATATCCGTCAGTGTCACAAGGCATGCAAAATATTCGTACTCACTTTCATGTAAAACACTTCATCAAAACTGTGGGACGACACAACCGACGAGGGTTTAACATTCCCATTGCGTTCACTAGTCATCCATGTAAAACATACATTTGTTGGTTTATCACATTGGAACATCGATTCTGAAAAGAGACTCGTGAATAATTTCAGAATTAAGGAGATGTAATTGGTGATCGGCGCCGTAGTAAACATATCTTTCGGTCGATAACCTTTACATATATAATTATGGCTATTTCAAAGAAATGAGCAGTGCCTTGCTGAATACTAGATTATTCGTTTGGGGGACAAACCCCAATACAGGGTAGGTGTTGTTTTGCACCACTAGACGTGCAAAACTCGAGGCTGTATATCGGACACAGACTCATCAACCGCTGTTTCGGTGTAGTAGAATCGTAGTTACTGGCATTACTGACATCCGAAAAGCACAAAACACCTAATGGGCTGTCGATAAGTTTTCAACAAGTATACATAGTGTGTTCTATCGAGAAAACAGGTGTAGATATTTTGTGAACAGTGAGTGATGGTATATATCGTTGTCATTATTCGGGGATCCAACATCAGTCGTCCAAATGTGAGGCACGAAGTGGCCTTTTCAGTTAAACAGGCTGCGCAGTTCCCCCCTCGTCATTGCAATAAAACCAAAAGAGGGTTGGTTAGAAGGGTGAAGTAACCAACAAACCTTCCAAAAGCCTGTAGAAATACAATATGAATTTTTTTCGCATAGAAAGCTCAGTTATAGTGCAAACAAAATGTTAAACGCCGGGATAGAAAACGTACAAACAGCCTCTCACCATAGAATCCGTGAATCGTCAAATGAATGCTTCTCTATACCACACATTCCTACTTGAAATTGACAGTTGGTTCGCCACACTTTGGTTTAATTCCTAAGTTTGCATTGCCCGTGAATCGTCAAATGAATGCTTCTCTATACCACACATTCCTACTTGAAATTGACAGTTGGTTCGCCACACTTTGGTTTAATTCCTAAGCTTTGCATTGCCCGAATCCAGTGACCTTCACATTTCCAACTAAAACTTACGTAACTTACCTATGTTAGCTACTGCTCCCAATGCGTGGCTACCCAACCCTGTTTCACTAGAACATCAGCGAATAAAATTGTTGCAGATAATATCATTATGAAACATGTGAGTGGTTCTTTTAGTGAAGATGGCTTGTTTGCAACTGCTCAGTATGTGATCATTCTCTGGTACTTTGGTGGAGATCGGTATTGGCATATTCGACTGCCTATTGGTACCAAATGCGACGATTGTCGAAATGAGAACTGGGGGTGAACATTACGTTACATTGAATCTGCCAAGTCTGATACGTCGATTTCGATTAGACACGTTCGGCCAGTAGTAGAAATACTCCCCAACTTTACTAATTTGTCATTACTGTTGTATGGTTATCGTATCGATGTATGAACTTTGGCAACACATAAACCAGTACGGTTATTTCGTTTGGTTTATTAGAGGAATCCCAAACAAAATACATTCACTAAATTACCAATAGTCTCTTGCCGATGTTTTTTCTGAAATATAGTAACGTAGCAAGAAGTTGCCCTCAGTTACTGCGACATGGTAACTGAGATTTTTTACGAATTTTCTGTTCCCTCTTTTGTATATTGACAACCATTTGATGGCCCTCTTTCCATGTACAAAACTAAACTGTTGAACCCACTGAACTCACAAAGGAAAAAACTGCTTACCGGTAACAAAGATTGTGCAGAGAGGTTGTATACGAATAAAAGGTGTACTTTGCTTCATGCTTCACTCGCTGGATAACACTTGCTCCAACAATTCTATTTCACCCACATATGATATGATATATTGTCTTATTTACTTTATGCAATTTCGATGGTCGATTATACGGGGATCTACTACAAATCTTGTGGACTGTTTCTCTACTACTCAATTTATGCGCCTTAGTCGCATTAAAAAGAGCAAAGTTATGTAGAACAGAACAGTCTGACATGCCTAAAAGTGAATTTTGGATTAATAATGCAAGCTTATCACACCACTGAACAAAAAATGGGTTGTTTATTGTGTAGAGGTGTTTAGTTATGAATGAGCAATCAACTACTGTTTGATTGCACCAAATGTCAGGTGCATTTTTCAATATGACGATGTTATGCGCGCCTGAAAAATGACACAGGTTTGATTTGGATGGATTCCTCACCTGTTTGGCATAATGTTTGGAAAAGTCAGCCGTATAATGCTGAGGTAAAAATGAAGAAGATTAGTGGACCAACATTTCACTTGAATTCTTAAATGTTATTGTCTACAGTTGGGTTTCCCATTTTGGATTCGGTTTACTCGCACACCAAGTTGACTTGTCTCGCATTGCAGGTTAAGAAATGCTACTAAAATTGGCTAAAGACTACCAGGACAACTGGTAACGATTTCATAGTGGAATTCTGACAGTCAGTTATTTAGTTAGTCATTTTATATCGATTTGTTATTGTTTCATTTTTTGAAGTTAAGATAAGCAACTTGGAAGACCAGTCAACTGGTTGAGAAAATATATAGGAAAATGGCTAAGGTCCAAGCAAAAGCACCTGTCCCCTGGCATGAAAAATAAGAAAATGCAGCAAAATGAAACATCACCTGAGTGCCACTCTGCACACTGGATGCTCATAATTTCAAATGTTTGTAATGATTCACAAGTTACGTACGTTAAATTCACTCTGAGTTTTCCTCCGAATCACAGAAATCCTACAGATCTCAACCAGCAAGAAGACTTCGAGTCGAAAGGCACGATCAGCAAATATGCGGGTGAGTTAATTTCCATTCAATTTTCCTTCCAATGACTCCTGAATGTGACGTCTGAAATTGCGTATAACGACGTCCCCCGATGTCCCCGTATGTTCGAGACGAACCGATGGGGAAAGACATTCAGACATGTTTCCTCTTGAGAGATAGAGGCTTCAGTCATATCATTTGCTTATGAGCAGTTACTACTACGACAAACTTTACTGGTCAACAGATCACCGATATGTTTGATACAAGTGATCGATAGTTGTTTCGACGGGTTGCTTTTAGTACCGATAAGCTCATTTTACCTATTTTGGGGTGTTCAAAACACTTCATAATCCATTGAGTAAGATCGACGCCTTAAGAGCTACAATTCGCACATTCAGAACCAGGGTGTCGTTACAGAATAAGACGTCCGTCACGGCTATACAAAGGTGGGCATATTTTGCGCCAAGGTTGAAAATAGCGTAAACTGTATGTTTAATCAGGATGTGGGACTTGGTCTTTTCTGACCTCCAGCATCCTTCTTGCTGAAAGTGTATAGCCTACTTGTACCTAAAATTTGGTCTTGTTACGCTTCTGAACGATTTTATTACTATTTTGGGAATAACTATGTTGTATATAATGTGTTTATTATGTAATCTCAAACATGACACCCTTACTCTTAAAACTTTTGAATTTGGTTGCTAATACACATGCCATTGGGGTGATTAATTTTGTAACCTTCGGTTTCAAGGTTGTCACAACTGTCATTCAGAAGCCCATTTTTGTCCAAGCTTTTTTCGCTACTCTGCACCAGGTGAGGAGTAAGAACTCTGACTTGTAATAAACTTAAGCAACCGTTAAATCAAGACAGAAATCCTCTAGTCACATTTTACTCCTCCTCCTCCTCCTCCTGATCATAATTATCAACGATAGTGTTTAACACCGATGCTTTGCTGCCGTACACGTTTTACTCAGCTATGTTACTGAACCCATCACTACGATCTTGGGATACACAGGTAATCTTTTTACTCTTTCCGACTTTCACAATTTCAAAGTGAAGTGCCTGTTTTGGGACCCAGTAGTTGCGGCAACCCGGGGCAAGCAACAACCCATATAAGCAATGGTTCAGTACTAGTACAACAGAAGATATACGGAGAATGCCTCCTAACTGACGATAAGATTCATGGGGATACTACTCTAGGCAAACTGATTGATGACAAAGTCCAACAAATTGTCAACTCAGTAGAGTTACATTTCGTTCAATAAAACAATGGTAGTATAACAGTAACGATAAGCTGTTTTTCTGAAGGCACAATCTAAGTTTTTTGTCCATTAGTGGTGATTATCTCGGTCAACCTTAGCACCATGTGGCGAAGTAGAATTGTGGAAGATGATGCAAAGTGACAGACTGACTTGGGTCCAAAAGATGTTAGCCGGTTGACGGTGCCGGAAGCTTTCGTTCGGTAGAGAAGGTTTGAAGCGTAATGCGCCTTTACTCGGGGCTGATTATGTGCTTTCTGCCTCAAGATAAGAGTTCTGTCAGTTCTACTAAGGTAGCCTGTTCCACAGTCACATGCAGAGTGATACACGTAATTCAAACTGGCACCAATGAGCTACTCTCCCCTGATAATAGGAAGGATTCGTCCATAGGTTCGGCTAATTGCTTGCAGTTCCGCCGCATTGTACGTTCCTTTTAAGGCTATAGAGAAAGACGTGATAACTTGGGCCAACGGAATGTCCTTATTCACAAAAAACTCAAGAAGATAATGCTTCTTGGCTATTATCACAATATGGTCAGGCAAGCTGTTCAGGATTGTGACAAATACCGTATCAAGGTAACTCTGGATACTTGGTGATTGAAACGAACGTGTTAACTATAAAACTGGGCAACAAGTTTTGTTCTTCTTTAGGCTCCTTACATAGGCATGGTCCCTGAGATTTCGTCAGTATTACTTTTGCTGAATCCACCGTTCCAGCTAGCCTTTGACCAAAATGGTGACATAAGCGCCGCTTCGTGTTGCGTTACGAGTAATGTTTACGAAACTGAAACACTTTTATTGCTATGACGCCATGTGTGTGGTTAGCGAAACACTTGGACAGCGAACCCCTGGCTCCCGTCAGGTGAAATGGAGGTCCATTTGGACTCGCATTAAAGCCCAGTCTCTTAATTTGCTCCTCTGCAGTATATGATCCTGGTTTAGAGCCTCAAACTTTAGTGCTGCAGAAAACTGCTTTAGTACCATATGTTTACGATTTTACAGGAGCTACAATACAGCCGAAAGCGCACTACATTGCCTAGTTCCAAAGAGACCGCATGATTGGAAATCGTCTTCTCCATAATCTGCAGAGTGGATTCAAACGATGATTCCGATCCAAGAAAAAGTCAGGCGAATTTCGAGTCACAAGTAAAACTTATGAGTTAGAGGCGCGCTCGTTCCTTTTATGGGAATTTCCAACCTCAAATACTGCTACACTTGTCTTTATATATAGTGCTTGCCCTTTGGAGCAAAATAAATCGGTCACTGTTCAAAATGCATAATTCTTTTTTTTAATGGTTTTTAGCCCCTAACATGGATAGCACACCTGTTCAAGAACCGAAACCGGTGACTTGTTGGCAACTCAAAGCTTCCTTGCAAAAACCACCAGCACTCATGCAAAATGAACTAAAAACAATTGAGTTGATCAAACGTCATCTGAACAAGCTCACGACCACAGAACAATCTTTACCGGACAGTATGGATGACCAGCCAACGTAGTATGCTTGACCTGCAGCAAATGCGCGCCAACATGATGCCGTAAATACCTGTGATGCATTCATATCAGCTTCACCTTTTACAAGTCGTACACCCTTTCCCGTTTCTAAAGATCAGTGCCAGGATCTGTTCACCTTGCATGAGTAGAGTCCTGTTATTGTTTGGTTATGATTGCGGATGGAGTTTTCAATAATGACAACTCTATCATAACTGTGTATGCCTGAAAATGTTTCTTTAAAACCCTCATTTTACAGATTGTCCAACCATTTTCAGGCTATGGAGCTGAAGTTTGGGCTGGCAAGCAGTGTCCGAACTCTCAGCCCTAGAGTTTCTGCAAGTACTATTCAGAACACCAAAGATAGACTAAACAAGCAAGACTTAGAACAGTGTTCTATACGCTTCTAACTCCCAAGTTTCTAGTTGTTTAATTGCTCAATCCGAAACAGTATAATTTATCAGTTCACCCAAGGAGAACATTGCGACGGAAACGGTTTGAAATCATGAGTTCTTGGTAATTTGTCAGTGTCCTGCGTACTACTAGAACAAACATGTTTGGAGACAGTCCAACAGTTCAGTGTGAACCGTTAACGTAACTTACAATGCTTTGAAGGCCTGTAACGCAATATAAACAGGGTATGAAAAAACACTTAGTACAAAACAAGAATAAGAGTGATAGTTGGGTTGGTTGTTCATAACAGAAGAACGGATTCAGCAGTGCTACTGGTTGCATGACCTCGTCATGTCAGTGGGTTTTGGCCACCATTCATTTGGTGTGTTCCTATTTTGCCACTTCATTGTACATCGCTAGACTGTGAGGGGGGCGGGAGTTGTCCCACCGTCACACTGTGAACTATCAAACTGACTGTGAAGAAAATTATCAACCCAACAAAACACTCAAACGCAACTACCTAACCCCTTGACTGGAACGATGTATCTGACAACAAATCTAAGAGCTGCGGTAGATTTCACTTAGCTAAGCATGATGGATAAATAGCATATTACTACGAATCTGGTTTTGCCTGTTGAAGACATTTCACCACTGATCGGAGAATATCACGTTCAGGTCACTAGAAAAGCCGGTGGAATATGAATAAGGTTGAACGCCAGTTCATCCAGACACCAACTACGTATGAAAGTCTGAGGTTTCGAAAAGGTTTCCTTTCTGGTAAATATGTTCAATCACACGAACAACATTGTTCTGGGGCTAATCCTTGAAGTTTACTCGGAGGGAGGTTGTGAAAAAGTATACAGGGCTATTTCTGTGGTTCCATCTGTACAGGAAAATCTCTGGAAAGTAGTAAGCACTACACTTCACTGGATTCTCAATTTAGCTAGCTGATGAGAAATGCAAGAGCAGAGTTCATGTAACCTGGCAGATTACAATATCAGCAATGCTTCAGCAATCGGCTTCATTAAGTGAGTGTCAGTATTCACATTCAACTGGCTTTGGTTGACCGCACTGGTATTGTTATATTTGACTGCTTCCTCCGCTCTAGTGCCTCAGTGCCGGAAAACATTAACCGACAAAAAAACAACAGTTTTCTGCTCACAAGCGATTCCGAAAGTACAGCGGCACTGTTTGGCATTTATCCGAGGCTATCCGATGGGCTACTAGTGGAGTTAAGGGTCTCGGTAGGTTTCGGGTATTCTAGAATAATGTTCAGGAGTTTGGCCTTCTTGACAGGTAAAAATCAACTAATGCAGTGTTTAGTAACTCTACAAATCACCGGATAGAATGTGGTCAACTCTGACTGCAGTGACAAACTTTTCAATGGCCAAGAAGGCCAGAGTCCTTGCAGACAAAATTTGCCTCACAAGTTACGGTTTTGATTGACCATTTAGTCATTCTGTCTAAACAAGTACTACCCTAAGCGTGATAGGTCTCTCATAGGGTTGCTGGAAGCTTTTTGACGGCTCACGCCCACTTTCGTCCTTCTAAGTCTCACCAGGTAGGCACACTCCTCAAGCTTCCGTTAGCCTGTGTTCTACTTGAACCCAACTCGGACAGATTTTGACATAATATTTTAGTTTTGACAGGAGACTCAACTGTATTCAGTTAAATCTCCCATTAATAATGGTCCACTTCAACCGAATGTGATACGCCAGGACGTCCCATGTATCAAGTCGGATGTAAGTTTGGAAAAATTCAGATATCAACCCACTTGATAAGCCCCAAGAGAGGCGAATTCGCTCGTCAGCTGCCAAGTTTCCAGCAACCCTGTGAGTGGTGTATCACGCCTATACAATGCATCGTGATGTCTCGAATGTCCAACCTACTGAAGCACAAAATGGCCTGGTACGACACGTTCAGTTGCTTAAAAACATCTTAGACAAAAGATATCAACTAGATTCTAAATGACACACTCGTCAAAAACAAATCGGTATGCAGATGAGTGTATAAGTCAAAGGACAACCACAGTTCAGAGTAATTCCTGGTCGTGTGGCATGGTAGTTAAGAAAAGTCACTCTTGTAAATCCTCAGCAAAATCGGGAATTTTCAGTCTCACAGTTTCCATTAGATTCTTAAAATACCTCAGTGGAGAACGCTCCTTCCCCGGTACGGTGTACCTGATCAAGATCAGAAGGTTGTGGAGCAGGCGCAGGGCATACGGGAAGAAAATGAGTTTGGTTGGTTGTCTCATAATGAAGCAGAATGTAGGAGAGAGACAAGCGGTTTTGATAAACTACACTTATAAAGTACGGAGACTTAAGATTATCTGGTACATATTAAATTCATATTAAATTCATATTCATATTAAATTTGGCGGCTTTTTCTGAAGTTTACTATTGTTGGTTGTGTTCAAAGTTCCACTGTGCTATTTAGCTTAGAACATTAGGAGGAGGCCTAAAATTGGAATTGCCTTAACTTAGATTAAATTATCACCTCTGATAGTTCAATTATGCAATTTAACCAGGCAAATATGTTCACTACATTTAAGCCATTAACAAAAAATGACCACGACTATGCTTAAGTTGGTAGTGAGTTGGTTTGTGAATACTGCCAAGATCTGCAGTTAGCGTTTAATGCTGACTTTTTGAAGCCGGTCTAAGCATCTGTACCAACTTTCTGCACAGACGGATCATCTGCCAAACTATGTGCGCCTGCTTGTTGGGGTTTTATTCCCTTGATAACGCCAGATAAAGGTTTTTTTTACCCAACGTTTAACATGGTCTTGATAAGCGCACCTGCTAATTCTTTCTGTTAGTTTCATTTATCTCATCAGCTAATACCCCCAAAGATGCACAACTCAAGACCACAAATATTTTACCACAGTTCAGGAGTTCTTCAAAAACGAACGACTCCTGAAATTACCGCAGGTTATACCATATACACCCAGAGCCTATTTCACACTGAAACCTGAGCCCAATCTTTGAACATTTGCAACGAAATCAGCCATCGTTATAATGCTTTCCACCTAGTTCAGCATAAGTGTGGCAGTCAAAGATGGAAAGAATTTTTTCGCCCTCACTTGAGTTTTCAAATCTTTGCTTCTTCCTTCACTGCTCCCACGTATAAATCAGCAAACCTGCAACCAAGGAGTGACCCAGTAATTCGCATTTTGAGTCATGTTTCCGGAGACTGTCCTCAATGTTAAAATAAAAACGGACAGATCGAGATTAGTAGGAGCAGTTGAACAACTAAACAAATGACTCAGTTGAGGTGATTTGGTATTCCCTAAAAAAATCGCACAAACTCAAAACAAAACCTGAAGATTGCAGTGAGCTCATTTACATAACTGCAATGAATGCAGCTACATAACTCGAAAAAGAAGACTTCAGGGGCAAGCATAACAAAAGCAAAAAAGCGATAACATTAAAAGATAATAAAACACTGCGCCCACCCAACTACCCGTGCGCATTTTTGCAACATATTACTTGCATAAATAGGTAGAGTGAAATATGAACCTCCATACAAAAGAGGTATCAAACATTTTACAGAACAGGCCATTCGTGATAGCCATTTGCAACGGTTTTCGAATGTTCTGTTGTTCATTTTCCAGCCAGGACAGAACAAATCCTCTTAGTTTTTGGATAGTTATTGTGGAAAACCTGTTTGTTGTTGCGTCCGTGATGAGAACAATTGAATTGTGTTATCCCGTAAAAATCACCCGACGTTTCATCAAAATCTGGATTTTTAGGTTTTTTAGGCATAGACATCATATTTCCCTGAACTCTACTCAAATCTTCATGATTTTGGATTTTCGAATACTCACTGGGCGACCAGACGCTTGCTGACATTGACTTTCAGTTTTCTTTGTTATTTGGTTACTTCTGAGCTATGATTTTTCTGCAAGGTATCTGCGGTTGTATGATGGGAAATTACGTAAAAAATTTTCCTCTCTTCACTTGTACTCTCCTGCATGTGATTTGAAACTGTTTTTGAAATTTCACTTGGACAATAATTTCGTCGTCTTTGACCGCTCAATCTCAGAATGAATCAGTCCCTCTCTACCTATTTATAAAAAAGTATCCTGCATTTGCTGAAGGTGTCCTGCGAGACAAAGCCAAGGAACGTCGCAGCTAGTTGGATTTCTATGACAGTTTGCCGTGCTTTTAGGCTTTATCCTCACCGGTACAATGCCTCCTTGAGAATGCCATGGAAAAAACTAGTGAATTTAGGTGCAGAACTAGTAGACAGTGCATCGGCTGCTACTTTGGAGTTCTCGCACAAATTCCGTGGACCAGCGGGATCTTGTGTGTGTACTAGGTCGATAAATAGATATGTGGTCGACTATGGGCAAGTTATCAGACTGCATATGACAGTCGCGGTATCCTCACTGCGACGTCGTGCTTCAGTTAGTGGGCAGCTCCATACATGAAAGTCTCAAGCCAGTCAGTTGGGGTCTTATGGTAGTTAGGAATGCTGCGAACCGGGGACATTCCGAACAGTAATCTGTAGTCAGAACCACTGAGTTATCCTGAACTCACGTAGCTGAAAAAAGAGTTGTCAAGCTTACTGTCTTTAGAATTGGCGGTAACAGAAGGCTCAAGAGGGTCAATTATGGTGCTGAAAGATTTTTTCGGGCATTTAGGGCTGGGTAGCCATCGAAGAGGACAATAAAGCAGGGCATTTGTGGGGGGTACGCAAGGCACATTGAGCGGAAAAATTATGGGGATTCAGAGTCCAGTGGCCGCTTAGCAGACAAAGACGGGGTTAGGAGCCTTTCGGCGATTTACGTCATTTGGATATGTGTTGAGGGATATTTGTTCCTAGAGCAATAATATAGAGTGAATCTGGGAGTCATCTGTTTGATAATCATCCCTATCACAGGCAGTTAGACCGTATCGGGGATGGCTGTCTTGCTAGTTCATATGTTTAAAATGTGTAGACATCATTGTGAAGGTGAAGATGGGTGGTAGTACTCTGGCATGAGCAGTTAGTTAGATGAGGCCAAGACACATGTGACAGACATGAAAATTAGCCTTGGAGTACCTCAAAATAGCGAGCAACTATGCGTGTCTGAAATGTGGAGATTTTTGGCTGGAGTCGGATTCCAAAGATAAAAAATAGTCCGCCTAAAAGCGCAAGCACGATCCAAAACAGGAGGCCCTGGATAGTGAGGATGCTACGGCGTTTGATGTGATGGTTTCAAGTTTTGCTGGGGACAAACAAGCTGTTGCTTTGCTTGAAGTACATTGTCAGTATTTGGAAACTAGGATATTAGGATAGGATCTGGTTCCCTGAATAAGCAAATTGGACTCCAACTACCCACCCACTCGCTAAATCCCCACTATAGCTACAAAAACGGGTACACGTTTGGAGACATATGACTTCCTTCAATACTGTGGATCAGGTCTATGATAACTGATCCTTAGAATCTTCCATACATCCCTCTAGTTTAAACTTATATACTCACAATAATGCATATGCTCAGTAAATTCCGATATTGAATCATCGGTGTGCGAACGGATCACTCATTATTGACAAGTAATGGGCGAGTAATAGGTTGACCTTTAAAATAGTAAGATGTCTGAGCAATTTCGTTGAAGATATGAACGACACTAAATCGAAAATACATTTTTTGTTATAGATTCATCGTCCGGTGGAAGTGGTACACTGAAACCAAAGCGGGTTAATTACCCACCACGGTTGTACCAGTGCACTAAATAAATAAAATAATTTCGCCAACGGTGGTTTTATAATTTTCCAGCGCGTGCATGGCGGGGCGACATCGTACACGGTTATGATGAAGAGGGGGCATCGTCGACCGTTGGATTAGACTATCATGCGTAGTTCATGACCAGTAATCAGCTGGGCGTCTATGTACAGGTCTGGTGGTCACAATTAGCCAAGGTGAACAGAAACATATACGGTTGTGATGACGGAGAGCCATCGTATCACGCTATCATGCAGAGTTAATGCCTCATAACTAGCAGCAGTATGACTATGTCCTAGAGATTTCCATCAGTAACCA